TGCTCAACAAGATAATACCTCTTGCCAGAAACAAGTACACAAAACTGTTTTTACACCGAGCTGACTCCTAAGGCGAGAGCTGGTATCAACATATTGCAGGTCGCAAAGACCTGTAGCATCTCAGCCACTCTCTCGCTCACTGAATGGTTTACTGTGGGAGAATTAATTATTTTCTTTTTTTTTTTGTTAATCTAGAAGGCAAACTCCTCCTATGACACCAAAGTCAAATGAAAAATGAAGGTATTTGTCATGAGAAATTTAAGGCAAACATGCCAACAGACTTTGTGTGGCTCATGTAGGCACACAGTCAGCTCAACTATTTGGCGGCCTTTACACTTTTTTTTTTTTACCAATAAGTGGTTGGTCCAAGAGGAAGGTATAATCAACGTCTTTCTGCAACAGTGCTCCTAGAAAAGCTTCCATGCTAGAAAATGATTGAGTTCTTTTCTGTAGTTCTTTCATAATGTATTCAGCACTTTCTCTCCACTTGAGCTCCAAGGAATTGCAAGTTAAAAATTGACAGGATATATTGTGGTTATTTTCTTCCAATCAAGAGTAATCAGGTTATAGCCAATGGTTGGATAGAATACACATCAATAAAATCCCATGGACATAGTAAAGCTTATTTTTAGGTCTTTTGGAATAAGTAAAGTTAATTTTCATGCAGTATTGAATAGTTAATCCATTTGATTCTCCACATGAATTCTTAAGATAATCTGTTTTTATAGCCTACAGTAGTTGTAGTCTAGTTGTTTATTTGTGCACATTTGACCAATTATTTGTAAACCATCATATTTATTTAGAAATTGTGTATTTTTGTATGTACTTCTCTGTTTTTTTTTTATTGAAAAGCATGAACATATTTCTTTGCTTCTCTTCATTGGCTTGCTGTTAAATCCAGAGTAGAATTTAAAATCCTTCTCCTCACATATAAATCCTTAAATGGCCAAGCTCTATCTTACATCAAAAATCTGGTTGTACCCTATGTTTAATTCACAACACGTCTTCTCAAGGCACTATACCGGTCACCAGATCATACAGTCAAATTGATTCAAAGTTTTCTATCTAAGAAAACCAGTTGATTGCATCAACTCATTGGCTCGGATGCAAACCCTCACACTAAGCATGCTTGTAGCGACAGTTGAGAGGAAAAACTCCCTTTTAACAGGAAGAAACCTCCAGCAGAACCAGGCTCAGTGTGAGTGGCCATCTGCCGAGGCCTATTGAGGTTCAAGGAGACAGAAGCAGAGATACAAAAAGCAGCTGTAAAAGGTGGCACGGTCCAGAAACCACAGAGCAGACAAGCTCCAAGCCAGCTTCCATGTTCCTAACAGAGCACTTAACTCTCAGTCTACAGGTTTACTAGTGGTTCCTAGAATTTCTAAAAGTAGAATGTGAGGCAGATCTTTTAGTTATGTTGTGCAAATTTACCAGAAGTTTATGGATTTAAATAATTAGAACTGGATGTTATAGTAATTAATAGGTCATTCAAATTAAGGTTAAAACTAATAAATTATTATCAGTTAAGTGATTATAACTTTCATTTGCTTACTGACCAGGGTTCTTAGTCTGTTACATAAATGGTTGGACTCCTGAACCGTTTAAATCCAGTTGCCTTGACCAATTTTGTTGGGATCTGGAGGTTTGTCCACTTTCTCCACCAGAGGGCGCACCAGATCTCCTGGAGCATGAGCCGACCGCACCACCTGTCTCTCATCTGCTCATCAGGAGATCCGTACTTAAGGAGGCGGAGGGCTTCATTTTAGTGCCAGAGTGTTTGACCTGATCCCGTTTTTCTCCTCTCTGCCTCCCAGGTTGATCCTGCCTGAATACCTGAAACTCTGGAGAGTTTCTCTGCAGGTGATCTGTCTGCTCGTTCTCAGTAGGACTCTGGAGAGCAGCCTCAGTCAAGTATCTGCCTGCCCGCTCTCAGAAGATTACTGGAAGGAAAACTCATCTGTGATCTGCCTGCACTCCTTTAGCTCTGCCTCCGCCTCTGCCCTCAGCCTGCCGACAACCTCTGGACCCTCAAGGTTCCCCCCCTCTGCAGCTCAGCTCCATTTCCGAACAGGTACAGACCTGAACGCTCACAACCTGCAAAAGACCTGGACCTCCACTAATCTCTCTGTCCTCCTCAGCAGTGAACCCACTCGTGACCAGTCAAGCCCCCTCTTGGATCTGAACATACTTTGTACATTTATTATTAATAAATCTTTCAACTTTTTCATCTGCCTCAGAGTGTTCTGCATGTGGGTTAGACACATTAATCCGAGTAGTATACTAAGTATACTTTAGAATAGCAGCAGATGAATGTAAATAAACTCTGATGCAGAGATGTTAAATGCAGTCAAAACAGGTGAAAAATGGAAAATGACTCAGAAATTAAACTTTAAACTGTGATGAGGCTGAAAGAGAATGGGTTAAGCAAAGGAAAGGTTAAAGTCCACACCGTGGCCTGTACAATGTGGTCGGCATGAGGTAAATGGAAGCTGTTGAAAGCCAGCCAGTCCCCTGTAGCAATGTCTTCAGACCCATGTGGTTAGTTCAGTTTATGCAGTGAGCATTAGCATTCAGTTAAAACTCTTAAAGCCATCAGCAGTTGACTCAGAAAGCTTATTTCAATAAAACACAACTATCTATTCTACCTAGTTCACCCAAGCACAGCACTTACTGTAATAAGCATCAGATGGAAAGGGAGAGATGGATGTTACAGTTTTGGCTCGGTGGAGTGGATGGGCCTTTCACCTTAGTTTTCTGGAGTCCCGTCTTTACTCCAGTCTGTTCACCCAAAAGCAGCTCTCAAAGAGATTTGGATTAATCCAATGCAATAGGACGAGGCAACTTTGCAGGGGGGATAATTTTATAACTCATGGTGGCCCAGGACATCTCCCTTTAGCTACGGTGGTTAGCTGGCAGGCGCGGCCATCATGTAGCAGGTCCATGGGTGCACCTCTGCGGTAGGACTAGTATTCTTTTTTTAAAAGCTCTGCAGCAAACTGCAATTGGGCCCCGCTGTTGCTCCCCTGGGAGTTAGATTTAGGTTACCAGAGCTGGGTTAGCTCTCTCTCTGCTGCAGCAGGTAGGTTCAGGAAACACTGCATTCAAATTGGTTGAAACAGCTACTAAGACCAGCTTTTTCCTATTCCAGCAAGCAGAGACCTCTGCAGAGGGATTTAGTTGGTACTTACCATACATAGCCTGAATATCCAGTTGGAGCTAGTTAGTTGATATCAAAGCAGTTTCATTGGTTATAATAGCCAAGTCAAAGTCAATGCCTAAATCTAACTCAGATTCTATGACCAGAAATAAAAAATAATGTTCTCCATCCAATATGACAGATTTTTAATCTGCAGATGTTTAAAGATTTGTAGGTTGACCTGCAGTCAGAAGACGTTCATCATAGTTCTAAATTAGAGGGGCCAAACACAAAGAAAACACCTCTGTGCTCTACTTTATGTTGGTCCATTATATATAATCTGAATAGAAGCTGCTGAAAGTTATGGTTGTTATGTTTGTGATAGCATGAATACTTCTGTGCTGTTGAATGCCGGTTAAACTTTTCAACTTTACAGAATTTCCTTTTATTTATTTTCATTTCTACCTACAGTAAAACTGTTGGATAATATCTCACAGGACCTCATCAAGCTCAACCTCTTTCAATTGACTACAAAGCCTTTTACACATGCACTCACAAGAAATTACCTTGGTGAAGCCCCTATTCGTCTTTTCAACTTCTCTACATCCTCACCTTCATCTCCTGTGTGCACGTGATCACCATTGACATTTTAAATCCCCTCTGCTTTATGTTTCCTCCTCTGCCTTTTTTGTTTTATCTGATAAATCAGCCCTCTTTTCAGTCCTTATAATTTTGTTGTCACTGCTTTTTCTTATCTTTGTTTTCACTCTGATCGATTTGCCTCTCTTGATTCTTTCATCATTTACAAAACCGCTCTGCAAAAAGTGTCCAATAAAAATCCCCATTCATCTGTCCATTTATTTATCTTGCATCCATTCACACCCCCTCATTGTTTCAGTCAAACATTTCGCTGGCCGAATGAATGCAGGTGCTTTCCATTATGCCTGACTGCACAGACGTCCACATCCAGTGGGAGCACACATTCAACCTCAAACCTTGATCAGATGGAAACCACAGGAAGAGAGATGGGTCAGAGATAAGCTCGCAGCATGGAGCCCAGCATGTTGGTGCATGTGTCGGTCCTGCAGTGGTTCGGTGTTGCCTGGTACCAGCAGGATTGAAGCTTTGATGTTCTGACTTCAGCACCTCAGACTCAGGTCCAGTCATATCAACTCCATTAAACATTAGTCAGAAGCTTGAATCATGCAGCATTTTAGTAGAGCAGCCTAAGATGTTAAAATTCAAACCGTTTGTGGCTCACGATAAGAGAACCAGATGGAATTTTTGGCCTGTGTCATGGTTTTGCACTTCTCGGTTCTGTTTAAGTTTTCTTTTTGCGCTTTCATTGGTTTCATTTCCATTTTGTGTTGTTTTCTGGTTGTAATTGAGTTCTTATGCATTTCTTGTTTACCCTCTGTTGCCCTCTTATGTCAGGTACCTTCCCCCAGCTCCTTTCTAGATCCTTCTGTCCACACCTTCTTCATATCAGTTGATTACCTCAGTCTTTGTTCTGTTTGGCATATATAATCATCCTCTTCAGTTGTTGTTTGCTGGTTTCATTTTGCGTCTTTGTTTCACATGTATGGTTTCCCCTGATGTCTCTTGTGTTTTGTTTTCCTGTAATTGTCCATGGATTTTTACTTTTGCTGCCTTCTTCATTTCATTACTCAATCAATCAATCAATCAATCAATCAATCAATCAATTTCTTTATTGTCACAACATCCACTAAACTTGACAGCCTGTGGATGACAGCCAGACCCGGTAACAACCAATGTTTGGCTTAACCAACCAATTTAATTGGTAGTGTTTTTACCCAATCAATGTTGGTAAAAGGGCAAACCAATATAAATTGGTCACTATCCTGGCCTCGCTAAGCACTGTGGCCTTCAGCAGTAACTCAGCTATACAGGTAGCTAAACACTTTCCCATTCGTCCACCAAGAAGCACTGCATTAGGTTCTTTAGCAGGGTTTAATGAGAATCGTGTAAAACTGTAACACACAAAGATACAGAAAATGAATGCCAGCTAAGCTAACATTGGGCTAATACAAGTAAAAATGTCTATCTTCACATAAAACATGTCAACAGGTTATGAATTATGATTAATATGACAGGCAAATTAGAACAGTACTTACAGACGATGCCGTTTTGCACTTAGATTAAAGAAAACACAACAAAAACTGCTTCTTTCAGAGCAAATGGATGAACAGGCTTTCTTCCTTTCTGGTAAACAAGTTGTAGTAATAAAAGTGACCACAAGATGGCGTTTGTGAACTAGCAATACACACAATTATAACATTTGCCACTAGGTGGCCTCAGTAAATGAACTAAACATTGAATAACATTAAGTTAAACAAGTTCCATTACACTCCCCGCCTGGCGTCTTTAAGAGATGCCACTAAATCAAATGTCCACATTACTAGGCGTCACTAGAAGAATCAGTTCCGAGATTGGTCGGCTGAATGTCTTTACATGCTGATGTCTTGCAACTTTTACATCCACTTTTCGCACAAGCCCGTCCCTGCTGGGGTATGCCTTCTCAACAAGTCCCATGGGCCACTCGTTGCGCTTTGCAGTGGAGTCCTTCAGGAGGACAACATCTCCTTCCTTGAGATTTGTTTTCTTTACAAGCCACTTTTGACGACCTTGAAGGGTGCAGAGATATTCTTTCCGCCATCTTGTCCAAAAGTTGTTGGCTAGTATTTGAACTCTCTTCCATTGGCTCTTGAAGACGTCCTTCTCGGTCAGGTTGTTTGGAACTGTAGGGGGAGCTCCTGTTTTCTGAGTAAGAAGCATAGCTGGAGTTAAGACCAGTGGAGCTTCAGGGTCTGTCGAAATCGGCACAAGGGGTCTGGCATTAACAATAGCTGTGACCTCTGCCATGAAGGTCACCAAGACTTCGTGGGTGAGCTGAGGTCGCTTCACATCTAGGAGTAGAGCATCTAGAATGCGGCGAGAAACCCCAATCATTCTTTCCCAAGTCCCACCCATGTGGGACGCATGGGGCGGGTTGAACTCCCAGGTGCACCTCTGTTCTGTCAGATAGTCTTTGATTGTGTTATTGGCATCCTGTGGTGATAGTTTCAGCTCATTACAGGCGCCAATAAAGTTGGTCCCTCTGTCGGACCTGAGTTGCTTGGCTGGTCCACGGAGTGAAAAGAATCTCCGGAGAGCATTGATGAAGCTTGAGGCAGTCATTGTTTCCACAACCTCAATGTGGATGGCCCTGGTAGACATGCATGTGAACAACACTGCCCACCTCTTGTTGTTCACTTGACCTCCTCTTGTGCGTTTTGTCACAATCTCCCATGGGCCAAAAACATCCAGGCCCACATATGAGAATGGTGGGTCCGCTTTGAGCCTTTCTTCAGGTAGATCAGACATGAGCTGTTGTTCTGACAGTCCACGTAGCTTTCTGCAAAACACACACTTGTGAATGATGGTGCTTATGAGTCGCTTACCTCCAACCAACCACAGTCCACTGGTGCGAATGGCTCCTTCTGTTAGATGCCTTCCCTGGTGTTTCACTCTGTCGTGATGATGACGCACTAGCAGAGTTGCAATGTCGTGTTTGTTGGGTATTATGACTGGGTTTGCCTCGTTTCTTTGTAACATACAATGCTGCAAACGTCCTCCAACTCTCAGGAGCCCCTCATTATCGATGAATGGATTGAGTCTGAGAATAGAGCTGTTCTTTGGTAGACTTTGGTCTTTTTTGATTGCAGAGATTTCCTGTGAGAAGCACTCTTGTTGCACTGTGTGAATGATCAGTCGCTCCGCTTTATCCCTTTCTGAAGATGAGATGTTGTTGCAGTAATGCCAACCTCGACAGCTGTCACTGTTTTTGCTTGAGAAGCTTTGAGCGATGTGAGTGAGTCTGGCAACCGATTTCAAGAGACATTTCCAGTTGGAAAAATGTTCAAAGCGACTTGAAAATCGTTTGTGAGTTGAAGACTCTGTTACCACATTGGTGGCGTTCACCCTGACCTCTGTGTCATCATCTGGATTGATTAGCAAGTATTGTTCGTCTGAATCAATCTTTGTCGAGTCCATGTCTGTGAGGAATCTTGGTCCAGTTAACCAGAGGGTGTTGACAAGCTCTTCTGCTGCGACTGATCTCGAGCCACAATCCGCTGGATTGAGTTCGGTGGGCACAAATCTCCACTGATTAGGCTGAGACACTTGTCTGATGCGCTGCACTCTGTTACTGACAAAGACGTAAAACCTTCTTCTCTCATTGTGAATGTAGCCTAAAACTACCTTGCTATCTGAGAAGTACCTGACAGCATCCAGTTTTACATCTACCTCATGCATAATAGTTTCCGCAACTTCTACAGCTAGGACAGCTGCACAAAGCTCTAATCTTGGGACTGTTAGCTCAGGCTGGGGGGCGAGTTTTGATTTGCCAAAAATGAACCCCACTTCATGATGGCCGTCATCATGGGTGATTCTCAAATATGCGACAGCTGAGATAGCCTGTACTGACGCATCAGAAAAAACACAAAGCTCAATTGTCTTGGCTTGACTCACTGGAAATGTGACGTATGTTCTTGGAATATGAAGGTTTTTCAAAACTGAGAGGGACTCTTGCCAGCGTCTCCACTCTTCGTATTTACTTTGAGGCAGAGGAGCATCCCACGTAATATCCTCTTTAGTAATGTCTCTGAGAATCATTCTTCCTCTGATTGTGATAGGTGCTAGAAAGCCCAATGGGTCGAATAGGCTATTTACCGTAGACAGCACACCGCGCCTGGTGAATGGTTTCTGGTTCTCTGGAACCTTGAATGTAAAAGTGTCTGTCATGAGGTTCCAGATAACCCCCAGGCTGCGCTGTATGGGGAGATCATCTGTGAACAGGTCCAGATCTTTTATATCCTTGGCTCTGTCTTCAGCTGGGAAGTGGTTGATAACTTTGACACTGTTTGATGCTACCTTGTGTAGTCGCAGGTTGGAAACGGATAACATTTCTTGAAGCTGCTCTACTGTCTTTATGGCCTCAGCTTCTAATGTGAAAGACAGCAGTGCGTCATCCATGTAAAAATGTTTCTCCACTAACTCTGTTGTTTTGCTGCCATAGACTTGCTCCATTTCCTTTGCTGCCCTCCGTAGGCCATAAATGGCAATTGCAGGTGATGGACTGTTCCCAAATATGTGAACTCTCATTCGGTACTCAACCACTTCGTTTCCTGGCTGATTGTCGCGGTACCACAAAAACCTGAGCATGTCTCTGCACTCTTCTTGAACAACAAAACAGTGGAACATCTGCTCTATATCTGCTAAAACTCCGATTGGACCCATTCTGAATCTCATCAGAACTCCAAGTAGACTGTTATTTAGGTCTGGACCCTGCAGCAAAACATCATTCAGTGAGACGCCGTCAAACTGTGCAGATGAATCAAATACGACACGTATTTGGTTGGGCTTTTGAGGATGATAAACTCCAAAAATGGGTAAGTACCACCTTTCCTTTTCTTTTTCAAGTGGTGGGGCAAGCTCAGCGTGATGATTGTTAAACAGCCTTTGCATAAACTCAAAAAAGTGCCTTTTCATTTCAGGTTTTTTCTGAAGATTGCGTTCCAGAGAGGCAAAACGTTTCTCCGCATATTCTCTGTTATTAGGTAGCTTGCGACGAGGGTGCCGGAATGGGAGAGGGGCAACCCAGCTATTTGAATCATCTTGGAGAAAGCCTTTTTCCATTATTTTCAAGAAGCGTTTGTCTTCAATAGAGGGAGCTAACTGGTGATCATGAATTGTTCTTGAAAACACTGAAAGTGTGTCTGATGTTTCTGTGTACAAGTCTCTTACTTTGATTTTGTTCTCACATTCTGAAAATGTAGAAGGTCTGCCACTGTCAGATATGTATGTCTTCATGCTGCTCACTGTTGGAGGCCCATGCATTCCATTGACACAGACATCACCGACTACCACCCAGCCGAGATCTAGTTTCTGTGCAAATGGTTCATTATTCAGTCCGTTTATCTGTTTTCGTACTTTGTGCACTCTCAACAGGTCTCTTCCTATCAGCAGGAGAATCTCAGCATTGGGGTCCAGAGGAGGGATTTCTGAGGCTATTTTGTTTAGGTGGTCGTGGTGATGGGCCACTTCCGGTGTCGGGATTTCTTTCCTGTTGTTAGGGAGATTGTCACATTCAATCAACGTGGGAAGCTGCAGACATGTTTCTTTGTCTAGAGACTCTATGACATAACCATGGGCTCTTCTTCCATATGCTTGTGTTGCGCCCATACACGTTGTGATGCTGTAAGGAGCCTCAGTGCCGTGTATGTCAAACTTGTCAAAAAACTCACTTCTGGCCAGGGAGAGATTACTCTGGTCATCCAGAACTGCATACATCCTCATACTCCTATGCTGCTGACCTGAGGGATACACGTTAACCAGAATAATCTTGGAACATGATTTATTACTTTGTCCTATACCACAGACTTTAGTGCAGTTCGAGCTTATTTCCTGTCTCGTCTCTTCCTCCCCGCCGTCCTCTGCACACGGTGGGGGCTGACTTAAGGACTGAACAGCGCTTGTTCCACTGAAATGCATGGCACTAACATGTTTGTCACTTGCACATTCCAAACATTTGATTGGAGCTTGACAGTTTTTTGCCATATGACTTGTAGAAGCACAGCAGCGATAGCAGATCATGTGTTCTTTGAGAAGTTTTTTGCGTTCATCAAGAGTCATTTTCACAAATCCTCTGCACTTACTCAATGGGTGTGGTTTATTATGGATAGGGCATTGTTTTTCTGGGTTAACAGGGATTTTCTCTGTTAATTTGACAGGAGTGCTTATATGATCTTGTGTGACATTTGTTTTATTGACAGCAACTGGGTATCTGACTGGTGCACATTTTTCCTTTCTCTGAGGAGCACACGTGAGTGAGAGAGTCTTAAAACTTGGATCATTCCTTACTTCAGCTTCTGAGCACACAAATTCTTTGAAGAAGGAGAATGGTGGAAAAGACACGTTGTATTCTCTTTTAAATCTAGAACCTTGTGACATCCAGCGTTCCTGTAGAGGGTAGGGGAGCTTCTCTACAATTGGCTGGACACCTCTAGCCGTGTCCAAATAGGTTAAACCACACAACTTGTCACTTTGCTTTGCAATTTGGAGCTCTTGTAGAAGATCTGCTAGCTCTTGAAGTTTGCGGTTATCTCTAGAATGGATTTTGGGAAAAGCTTTAAGTCTTGAGAAAAGAGCATTTTCAATCGCCTCTGGTGAGCCATATATTTTGTCCAGTCTTGCCCATATTGATTTTAGTCCATCCATAGGCTGGTTAATATTAACTGCTCTTATTCTGGCCGCATGCTCACTTGACTCCTTGCCAAGCCACTTCACCATCAGATCAACTTCTTCACTAGGTGTCAGCCCTAGTGGTTCTATAGCACTGATGAATGAAGCTCGCCATGCTTGATAATGTTCTGCAGTATCATCAAATTTGACCAGACCAGATGTTATGACTTGGCTGCGTGCTAAAAACCTTGCCAGATCAAATGTGGGATTTCCTGAATTTACGTTAAAGGTAGGAACATCAGTTTTCACATTAACATTGTGCATTGAGTCACCTCTGTGGTAAGAGTTGAAGTTGGGGGATTGTTTAATGTGTCCTCCTGTCATGTCTGGCTGATGAATGGGAAGAGACTTAAATTCATCTGAGGCTGCATATTGTTGCGTGGTTACAGCAGCGGGCACAGGTACTGTATATTGTTGCATGTTAACAGCATTGGGTATAGTGTTAGGTGGGTGTGAGTGAGCCCCCTGATCCTTGTAGTTGTACTGACTGAAGTAAGATGACTGCTCTTTTACATAGTCTTCTGTCCTTTTCAGTGTTTGTTTGGCTACAGGACTGCGCTCAGATGTCTCGCTGTATTTTCCTTCCTCTATGTCTGCTGCTACTGCCTCAAATACTTTTGCTTCAGCATTAGCAGCTGTAAGTTCCCTTTGGAGAGTGAGTGCACGCAGTGATGCTTCAAGTTTTGCCTTCTCAATCTGAATATGTGTCTCTTTTTCATGAAACTCCAGTTTAGCTTTAGCTGCTTCAGCCTTAGCTCTTGCTTTAGCTGCAGCCAAACTGACAGAGGAGCATGTAGATGACCGTGAGGCTACAGAACGGACGTGGTACACTGTATCTATATCCATGTCCTTATTTGATAGCACATCACTTGCCTTCTGTTCATTACCTTTGTTGTCCATGGCTCAGACGTTGTCTTTTTCTTTGTCTCTTCTGCATGGGACGTCTTTTTACTATCCTGGCCTCGCTAAGCACTGTGGCCTTCAGCAGTAACTCAGCTATACAGGTAGCTAAACACTTTCCCATTCGTCCACCAAGAAGCACTGCATTAGGTTCTTTAGCAGGGTTTAATGAGAATCGTGTAAAACTGTAACACACAAAGATACAGAAAATGAATGCCAGCTAAGCTAACATTGGGCTAATACAAGTAAAAATGTCTATCTTCACATAAAACATGTCAACAGGTTATGAATTATGATTAATATGACAGGCAAATTAGAACAGTACTTACAGACGATGCCGTTTTGCACTTAGATTAA